TAGACATGGAGCCATTGATCACTACCCGTTGAGCCCGACAATCTAGCCAACTTTCTACCCACCTTATAGTGCATTCATCCAGCCCATACTTCTTTAACTTGCTGACAAGAATACTGTGGGAGACCGTGTCAAAAGCTTTGCTAAAGTCAAGAAACAATACATCCACTGCTTTCCCTTCATCCACAGAACCAGTAATCTCATCATAGAAGGTGATTAGATTAGTCAGGCATGACCTTCCCTTGGTGAATCCATGCTGACTGTTCCTGATCACTTTCCTCTCATGTAAGTGCTTCAGGATTGATTCTTTGAGGACCTGCTCCATGATTTTTCCGGGGACTGAGGTGAGGCTGACTGGCCTGTAGTTCCCAGGATCCTCCTTCTTCCCTTTTTTAAAGATTGGCACTACATTAGCCTTTTTCCAGTCATCCGGGACTTCCCCCGTTCGCCACGAGCTTTCAAAGATAATGGCCAATGGCTCTGCAATCACAGCCGCCAATTCCTGTCATTGGAGAGCCATTGACCATTATCTTTGAAAACTCATGGTGATCAGGCGAGGTCCCTGATGACTGGAAAAAGGGTAATGTAGTGCCCATCTTTAAAACAGGGAAGAAGGAGGATCCGGGGAACTACAGGTCAGTCAGTCTGAGATCAGTCCCTGGAAAAATCATGAAGCAGGTCCTCAAGGAATCAATTCTGAAGCACTTTGAGGAGAGGAAAGTGATCAGGAACAGTCAGCATGGATTCACCAAGGGAAAATCATGCCTGACTAATCTAATTGCCTTCTATGACGAGATAACTAGCTCTGTGGATGAGGGGAAAGCAGTGGAGGTTTTATTCCTTGACTTTAGCAAAACTTGTGATACGGTCTCCCACAGTATTCTTGCCAGCAAGTTAAAGTAGTATGGGCTGGATGAATGGACTATAAAGTGGATAGAAAGCTCGCTAGATCGTCAGGCTCAACGGGTAGTGATCAATGGCTCCATGTGTAGTTGGCAGCTGGTATCAAGCGGAGTGCCCCGAGGGTTGGTCCTAGAGCTGGTGTTGTTCAATATCTTCATTAATGATCGGGAGGATGGCGTGGATTGCATCCTCAGCAAGTTTGCAGATGACACTAAACTGGGAGGAGTGGTAGATGCGCTGAAGGGTAGGGATAGGATACAGATGGATCTAGACAAATTAGAGGATTGGGCCAAAAGAAATCTGATGAGGTTCAACAAGGACAAGTGCAGAGTCCTGCACTTAGGACGAAAGAATCCCATGCACCGCTACAGACTAGGAACCGAGTGGCTAGGCAGCAATTCTGCAGAAAAGGATCTAGGGGTTACGGTGGACGAGAAGCAGGATATGAGTCAGCAGTGTGCCCTTGTTGCCAAGAAGGCCAATGGCATTTTGGGATGTATAAGTAGGGGCATTGCCAGCAGATCGAGGGACGTGATCATTCCCCTCTATCTGGCATTGGTGAGGCCTCATCTAGAGTACTGTGTCCAGTTTTGGGCCCCACATTATAAGAAGGATGTGGAAAAATTGGAAAATGTCCAGCGAAGGGCAATAAAAATGATTAGGGGGCTGGAGCACATGACTTATGAGGAGAGGCTGAGGGAACTGGGATTATTTAGACTGCAGAAGAGAAGAATGAGGGGGGATTTGATAGCTGCTTTCAACTACCTGAAAGGGGGTTCGAAAGAGGATGGATCTAGACTGTTCTCAGTGGTACCATTTGATAGAACAAGGAGTAATGGTCTCGAGTTGCAGTGGGGGAGGTTTAGGTTGGATATTAGGAAAAACGTTTTCACAAGGAGGGTGGTGAAACAGTGGAATGGGTTACCTAGGGAGGTGATGGAATCTCTATCCTTAGAGGTTTTTAAGGTCAGGCTTGACAAAGCCCTGGCTGGGATGATTTAGTTGGGGATTAGGTCCTGCTTTGAGCAGGGGGTTGGACTAGATGGCCTCCTGAGGTCCCTTCCAACCCTGATATTCTATGTTTCTATGAATGCGGTTAGGAAAATTGTGAGGGGGACAAGCTGGGGGCAGGTAAGATACTAAGCTGGTGTACAGAACAGGGACATAGGGAAGGTGTGAGAATGTGGGGTAAACATGGGGGACTAAAGACTGGTAGAATGTGGAGGGAGAATGCTTGTGGGGCAGAAGACGAGAGGGAAGATGGGATAATACAAGAAGATGTATAGAATGTTTTTCTTTCCCTTTTACCCCAGGAGTTAAGAGGGTAAGTAGAATTGCCATCTGAACAGGAGGTTCATCTGTTCATATGATTGCTTTGGTTTCAAAATTTAATCCCACAATCATGCACAAAATGGAGGGGAGTTTCTTAACAACTAAGACTCAAATCAGAAGGCAGAGGAAAAGTAATGCTATTTTTTTGAATCTGACTCATGTTCTCTGAAGTCTTGGGGGTAGTAATACTAATATTTACTGGGCTGCTCTTCCTTTCTCAGCCCTGCTCCTAGAACAGACACTTTCCCGTCTCTTCTCTGGACCCTGAGAACGCCACACTTTTAGGGATTGATCTCTTTGCTGTAGCTATCCCAGGTACTGTGTCTGCCCATCAAACCTTGCTATTTGGTCTTCCTCAACAACTAGAAACTCTGAACAACTTAATTGTATATGTATTAGAATTTTTCTGGTTCGTTTAAAGTAGTTTTTGTTAAGGTTGCCCCAATTCTAAATTCATTTGCTGACTTCACATATTCATAACTATAGAAATGTTATCTTTATAAAACAAGCCATATACAAATAGATCTCATTAAAAGATCTGAGTATTAAGCCAAGTTTAACTAAAATCAGTCTGGTAAAACTTAGGTATACATATGGGGATAACTGTCCCAAAGTGGAACTACCTTAACAGTAAGTTCAAAATTTCTTTTTGGTTGGATCTGAGTCCTTTCTTAATGATGGGTTGCTTTTGGAACTGTTTAGCCCATTATAGATTGGTTCTGGGGTTCTTGAACTAAATAGCTTTGAATCGGGTTTATTCTGTAAATCATATAAGAAATGTAGTCAAGCTAAGTTTGATGACTTTATACAATACAATACAATATCCAATACATACCGTGTTTTATACAATAAAGTACCATGTGAAAAGGTTCATAAGAAATCCAGTTTGTATTATATGTTGTGATATTTGATGCTTATGCTTTCAAACATAATCTCTTTATATTCAATACAAAAAAGAACGTATGAAATGCTCAGAGTTCAGTCTTAATTCTGTACTTCTTTGTTTTTGAGTGCATGGTTTCTCAAACATAATATTAATATTAGTCTCTCTCTTTTTGTATTAATATTATACACGTCTGTATTTATTTTGCAAAACACTTTTGGATGAAATGCACTATATAAATATAAAGTTATCTGATTATCACCACATATTTTGTATTTTTTCACAGATCTTTGAAATGTTGATCACTTGTTAGCATCTATATTGATTTTTTTCAATAAACATAAACTTTGAAATTAAAATATTCCGCTAGCATTATGGCAGTTTGTTGTAAAGGCTTTAGTGAAATGAGTTGTCTATTTTTCTCATGTCCGCTGGGGAGCAGATTTTTTTTCTCTCTCCTCTTAGGTTATCAACAATGATTCATTGGTGAAATTTCTGAAGGCCAACCAGGAAGCCACACAATGTCAAAATCTTCTAATATGTTTACCAACAGAAAAAATGTGGAAAGAGTGACAGGCTTTCTAGGTGATCTTGACCAACTTATTTATCCTATGTTTCCCCATCTGTACACTGATACTAAGCTATCTTCCTACATCATAGGTCTGTTCTGAGGATTATTTAGCGAACCTTTGTAAAGAGCTTTAAATCTCAGTTTGGAGAGACATGTGAGTGCTCAGTATTAAGTATGGCAAGAGAGCTGAATGTTAGTAGGGCATTTCAATATAGCCAACCACAAGTGTTTAAAAAAATATCATAAGTACCCAAAAGATCATGAGATTAAAAAAAATTGCTTTTTTAATTGGCATTTTGGTTTCTGAGCTTTTAGGGTGCACTCAGGTCATACGTTTAATCTTTTCTTTGCAACCATGAAAGCTAGAAGCATTTTCTAATGAAAGCTGTAAAAAGAAAAGGAGTACTTGTGGCACCTTAGAGACGCTTTTTCCTTTTGCGAATACAGACTAACACAGCTGCTACTCTGAAACCTAATGAAAGCTGTGATTCCCACAACCACTTGTCTTCAGTAGCTGGGATTTTAAATTAAATTTCAAATATTGTGAGACTCCTGATACAATCAGGACGGTTGACAACAAGACGGTGCACGAGTGGGGAGGGATGAGTGAGTGGGGATAGCTATAGATCCCCCAATTCTTTTTTTAAAATAATGGGATTTTGGGAAATGTCAGGTGGTGAGACTTTGAGGCATAAGTGATATTGGGCTGGGATTTCTGCATCTGGGAGGGAGGGTTAGCTGGAGACCACCCTCCTAGCTGGGGGTGTGTGTGCATATGGAGGTGACTGGAGGGGGCGGGGGGCGGGATCTGCAGGGTGGAGAAAGATTTTGCCGTGTGTTTGGATGAGGCATTTAAACCCTCCCTCATTTACATGATCCCCTCACACTCATCCAGCCCCTGCCTGGAGCCCTGGGTACGGAGGGCAGGCTGAGGGGCTGTTCCCACCAGCACCGCCTCAGGTGCGCTCAGGGGGAAGGAGCAGAGCCTCTAACGGTTACCCCCGCCCGCTCGCGCTCCCACTGCCGGGCCGCCTGGAGATCCGACCCAAACAAGCCGGCGCTGAAGAGAATCAGCCAATCAGAAGCCGCAGAACGTAGCTGACTGACAGGCGAGCCTACCCAATGTGAGGCATCTTAAGAGAAGGGCAGGACGATCGTTGAGGAGGCTAAACGGCACCGCCCGCTGGGAGGATCGTAGGGGCGCGGCTAAACCGCACGGGGGCGTGGTTTGAAAGGACGTTGGGCGAGGCCTTTGCTTGGCGATGGGCGTGGCCTAGCGGGCGCTATTTAAACCTGCTGCTCCCAGCCTCTACCGCTGAGTCGGCGCGGAGCCGCTGCAGGTGTTGCAGCCTCGGCGGAGGCGGCTTTGGATAACGGTTGTGCGCGCAGGTTCCTCATCCCCGTGGCTGCCCCTTTCCTCCGCAGCAAAGGCGGGCTTCGGCGGGTGGGGGAGGAGGGGGTCCCCGTCTTGTAGGGCGGCCGTGGTGGGTCTGTGGCGCCCGTTGGATGCGCTCCCGGAGCCCGGGGCAGGAGGGGGCCGGAGGGAGGCGTTGCCTCGCCGCTGCCTGAGAGGATTTACGACGTCTCGGACTCCGCCTGGCGCCGGTGCCGCCGCCGCCTGCCCTGTGTGCAGGTCCCCCTGGCGCGCGGGAAGCGGAGATGGACGAGAAGTACCTGCCCGAGCTGATGGCGGAGAAGGACTCGCTGGACCCGTCCTTCACCCATGCGCTGCGGCTGGTGAACCAAGGTGGGCGGCACGGGGGCTGCGGGCGGCACGGGGGCTGCGGGGGGGGGGGGGGGAGACGGGACGGGACCCCCGAGGCGTGGGAAGGGGCGGCCCTGAGTTGGGGACGGGGGCTCGCTTGCTCCGTGCGGCGCGGGCTGAGTCCCGGCGGGGCGGGCTCCTGTCGGCGGCTGGCAGCCAGGTGCGGAGCCCGGCATCTCCGGCTCCTTAGGTTGCCTGCCCGGGACGCCGGCCACCGCTCCGCGGCTGCCAGGTGAAAGTTGCTCCCGGGGCCAAGCGCCGCTCGCTCTGGGGGGTTTGGCGGCTGGGTCGCCATCTCCCGGCGAGACGCGATCCCCAGCACGCGTGGACCGGGAGGCGGAGAGAGCGCGGCTGGTGCCTTGGCACATCGCACCCCCGGTGGGGGGCGACGCACCTGCCAGGGACGGGAAATCTCCGTCCAGACGCTGCCCAGGAGGGGCGAAGGGGTGACTTCAGCTCTGGAGCCTGTTGTGATCTCTCGCAGTAGGATGCCTCTGGTCCTAGGGCTGGGGAGGAAGCCGGGTCTTCTCTCTGGGGTGTGCTTGGGACGTGACGCGTTGTCCCGATCTGTTGACACTTGTGGGTTTGATGTTGTCGCTTTCAGTTGATCTTAATAGTGATGTACATTTCTGCTAGGAGAAGGAAGCTTGACGAGTTTGTGTAAAGTAAGAAGGAAAAAAAAAATGGCCCCGAGAACAATGCACATTGTGATTCTTCGCTTCGCTTTTGAGCAGACGGATGTCGTGAAGTTCCCTTAAATACCCAAATTGTTTAAAGAGTGGGCTTTAGAAGGAAAATATACACTTTTAGTGAGCAGATAATATAGGATTGTCAAACACTGTAATTTTAGTTCAAATAAACGGTATCACGATATTTTCCTGTTTTACTTCTATTGGATTATTGATGACGATCATTTAAGTTAATTACTGCAGTTTCTAAAAGGTTTATTGTTCTTGATCCACTTCTAATGTTTTTTTTTTTGTTTACATTCCTAATTGGGCTTGCTCTTGTGTCTAGTGAACTATGTTTTTTTTTATTGTTACCTACTGTGCAGGCTGCTGTGAGAGAATCTGAATTGTACAGTGTGTGATCAGTGGAGTTAACGAGGACTGGGGTTACAAAATCAGAGAATAAATAAAACAAAGTGTAATCTTAATTACTCAGCAAAATAACATCCTATTAGCAGAATGAGAAGAATTGTTTAAATTTATATGCATAGGACATTTAGTCTTGATTCCAGATTTTTCATGTTGCCACTGCTATGTGAAGTGTTGCTTTGGGATTATTGAGCGTACACGCCTGTCAGTTTATGCTGCAAACAGTCCATAGTTGGGTTATGTATTAATATATAGTAAGAATAGATTCAACTGCATGTGCATCGTTTATCTCAAAATAGCCTTACTTATTCCACAAAAAAAATTGTTCTCTAGGAGCTGTCCAGTATGCCAGCAAAACTAAATAGAACAAATATGAACATAATTTCTTTAAGAAGTGGCCTGCAAACTAAGCTTTCCCACAGGAAGTCATGTACACCTTTGTAAGTAACTTAAGAAATTGAAAGTAGCTCTTAAAATCAGTTTTATGCAAAATTGCCTAAAGCAGAATTTTCTGCAATTATAATCTGTGATTGAAAAAATTGATTTCTAAGCGTCAAAGTCAATTAGCAACAGTAAACTGAAAAATAATTTGTTTTAAATGGTCACTAGTATTTTCAGAAATGTCTATTGCCTAAATATTAAAGAAGAAAGTATAGTGTAAATTTGGCTATTATTCCGGGGAAGTGTCTGAATGGTAAACTGCTTTATGATGGGTAGATTACTTTAAAATATGCTGAGGTAATATGGTACAAAATTCACAAGTAGTAGTATTCCAGGTTTATTACCAAATCAATTCACTTAACTTTTAAAAATGAAAATCGAGTATGCATCTTGATCTCATTGCTGAAATCATCGGAAGGCTATACTGGTATTTGCTTCATTACATTCATTGTTCCATATCTAAGTTACAAATGTTGTTAGATTGGCATAGCTTGTTGATTTGCAGTGTGCTAGGAAATAATTTCTGGCTTTAAATTTAAGGACTAACAAGGTGTTGCTTGATGATTGATGCACATAATCTCAATTGCATAATGCAAATACCATGGTTTTGTAGCTTGATACTCTAAAACAATGCAAAGTTTACGCCAAAAAAAAATCCCACGAGCGAAACACTAGACAATCTTATCTGAAGGAATCTTTTTTGTAAAATTTCCAATTAACTTAAGGTAAAATTATTTGAGAAGGGAAATCTTAGTGTAAATCAAGTTTTCTGATACTGTGAATAAGTATCTCTGTTAAATATGTGCTTAAATTTTTTGTAATTACTGATGTAAGTTTAATCAAACTTTAACAGAAAAGGGAATAACTGTCATGATGTTTGAGGACAGTATATAGTTAGAAGTTGATCTTTAACTAATGTACCTAACTGTGGGTCTGAAGTTTGATGACAAAGTAAATTAACCAGAATTAATACCTAGGGCTCGCCCTTTGGTATATTTTTTTTATTGATAACCAGGGTCACATCTATTTCTAATCCTGTTTCCTGGTACAGTAGTTTTAGAGTGTGTGTGTCTCCCCACATGTTTTCAAAGGTGCTCTTTTAGCTCGTACAACTAAAACATGAATGGTGTTCTCAGTAGCACATTTGTTAGTAATATATCTTGTACTTAGGTAGATTTTTGTTCGGCTTCAGATTTAATTTCTGCGCCATTAGTCACAGACTTAGATGTTTCACTCATTTTATCTTTTGAAATGTAAGCTCCTAAAATAAAAGCATAGTAACTACGAAGTTACTGCTCCAACTTAAAATCAGGCTTCTGTAACCTTAACTACTTAAAATTACCTGAGTTGATGGCTGGCCTCATAGACAGTTGTGTATAATCTACTGTTTTGAAGTTGCTGCTGACTAAAAGAAATGGAATATGTAGGGTATCTGCTAGTCTTACTGAAATAGGATGTTTTTAATATTACTTTGACTTCAGAAGTTAATAACTTTTTAACCTATTCTTCTTAATTATAGCAGGCTATGATCTTCTTGGTAAAATAGAATATAACACTTTTTAAAAATGTTTTCTTTTTCTACCCGAACTTGTAATTTTGGTGGTTTGTACTAAAGTTGAAAAGCTGAGTTAACTTCCCTTTCTTACAATTGTTCAAGAATCAGAAAATCTAAACATGTCACTATTTTTGCTTATTTGAAAGTAATAGAAGTTTAATTCTTACCCATTCAGTAACACTACCTCCCCCCCCGCCAATGGTGCAATAATCAAAATTGGGATTTGGGTTGCAAAAATAGTTATTTGTAAGGTTTTCAAAATTCAGTTTAATTATTGTTAGTTTATTTTAACTTTTGCCAAATCAACGGAAAATATTGTCTTATGGATACGCTCCACTGTGTGGAAAGGCAAACATATTTTGATGAATAAAGCCAATTTTCCTAATTCTTTTAGAATCACTTCTTGGGACTTATTGAGCAACATCAGTCACAGTATTGGAAAAAAAAACCCCAAAGTTCAGAAGGGCTGAAATAAGTGCAATTTTTTCAGTACATACGAGAGCACAATAATAGTCACAAATGACTTGCCATCTTGAAATTGAGTATCGGGAGGGAATTGAGAAGCTGCCCTGTGCCCAGACTTTACATAACTGCCAATTATAGTCTCCACATGGTAATACACAACAGTATACTGAGATTTTTTTCATCTGCCATTAGAAATCATAAAATATACATGCTTGTATGCTTTCTTGGTCTGAAGGTTTGGTTACAGAACTCTGTAAACTACAGGGCATAATAAACATCGGGTCAGAGCACGGAGAGGAACTCTTTACCAGACAATTCTGAACTACTACAGAGAAACGAGGTTAAGTAATACTGTGTTTGCTTGGCAAAAAGCATTTGCTGGCATTGAGCATACTGATGGAATTGAAATGAGCACCTACATATTTGTTGCCTACCTACATACTTATTAACTTCATTGCTTGCTATTTTCAATTGCTATAGAGCAGTAATTTTCTCCTATTGTTCCCCCAAAATGTGAGGCCTCCAATGGCTTTAATAGAATTTTCACCAATATAAATTGAGAAAACGTTATTGTTGAAGTGCAGTGTTAAACAAGTATTGGAGCAATCCACTACTGCTTAAATTTGGTAGAACAGTAGGGGTCCTTCTCCAGGAGGTAATGAGAATATATTGTCACAGTTCTTCTCTGAATCAGATGTTTGTTTACTTTTCTACTTGAGCAAAACATATTAAACCTGTTTACTGTAATACAATTAGCTTTCTTTCTATAAACGTAGTTAGGTTTTTGACACAAGAGAGCCAGACACATGGGTGAGGTTTTCATATACTTATAAATTGGCAGTTCTGAAGGGATTAATATGCAGCTGTTAAGTACCAGGAATAAAACATTCTGGCTAATTCTAGCCTACATATAGTAGCTCTTATCCTAAAGGAAAGCCTCTGGTGCCTCTCCCATGGAGGTTAGATCACATGGGGGGAAAAATCAAGGTGGTGGGCACCCCCATGGCCATGTAAGAGCATGCAGCTCAGTTCTGCATTTTTTTCCATGTTTTGCAGTGTTTGGGAACTGCTATTTTGGTAGAGAAATAAAATACATTTTTGGCTTTAGAAGCTGAAATTTTCATCTAAGAGGTGAGAGAAGTTTCCTAGAAATTGTGGTGTGTGGTTTTTTGTTTTTTACAATCGCCTTAATCAAAGGCATTAGATATAGCTTTGATCTTTAACCTTATCATGGCAATAGCTTATCATGCAGAGGGAAGTGTTTAAAATTTCTGTAGCATAAGGGACTCGTCAATCATCCTACTAAATCTTTGCAGGTGTAACAACTTTAATATGCAATGGTTACATCTGCTCCTTAACATATACGGAAACAAACTGAATTGAAGACATCAGCAGTAAGTTGCTCCTGGTTAAAATTAAAATCT